CTAGCCCAGAGGAAATGGGTCAGGAGTTGCGTGGGCAAGAGGGAAGGATAAGAATGGTTGAACTGAGAACGAATATTGTTTCTCTTTAAAAAAAAAAATTATAACGGACTCAATAGAAACTTCAAAAAGAGCTTTCCGAAGAACCAACAAATGGCAGAAGTGGAGAAGCAGCAGCGGACCTTCTGCAAGGCCACCTACCTTGGTGAGGACCTCGACGAGCTGAGTGACCAGTCCCGCGAGCAGAGCAGCAGATGCAGCCCTTGGGAGCCCAGCGTCCGCGGCTACACCCAGTCCTGAGGAGGAGGCCACACTCCCCGCTGACGTGCCTGCGCAAGGCCGAGAAGGAAGCGTGGCCCGCAGGTGAAGGCGCACCTGTGGGTCCTGATTATCTCGCGAGAGGCGGAATTCCACAATGGCAAAACCTTCAACCAGGTGGAAATCAAGCCTGAGTTGATCAGCCGGTAGCAGGGAGAGTTCACCATCACCTGCAAGCCCATGAAGTGGTCCCTGGCAAGGGGACCACCCACTCCTACCACTCCCCCCACCCACAGCCTCAAATAGCCAGCTCTGCTTATAAAGGCACAGACTTCTCTGAAAAGAGAAAACTCTCTAGAAGGTTCTTCGGCGACATGTATTGAAATATTTGATTCCTTTTTAGTTAATAGCTAAAGATGTGGAAACAACTTAAATGTCCATCAATAGATGATGAATAATGAGAGTTGTATAAATATTATGTAGTGTATAAATATAAATATAATGTATTGTTATTTAGCCTTAAAAGGGAAGAAAATCCTGTCATATATGATATTTATTATGTACCATAGTGAAATTCACCTGTGAAATATTTAGGCTTCTGCTTTTTAATTTTAAAATTTCCTTTTATCATATTCTGTCATTATTGGTATGAGTTTTCTACTTGTTTTTGTTTCAATTTGATAATTTATATTTTCCTAGAATACTCACTCATTTAATCTATATTTTTAAATTTATTAGTATAAAGTTTTACCGAGTGTTTCTTTCTTTCTTTTTTTTTTTATCCTCACCTGAGGACATTTTTACATTTTTTTGTTCAGACAGAGCGGGAGGGAGAGAGAGGAAGAGAGAGAGAGAGAAACATCGATGTGAAGGGACACATCGAGTGGTTGCCACCCGCACGACCAACCAGGGCCGGGGACCAACTGCAACCCAGGTACGTGCCCTTAGCGGGAACCGAACCCGGGTCTCTCTGTACCGCAGGCCGACGCTCTAACCGCTGAGCCAAACTAGCCAGGGCTACCTAGTGTTTCTTATATATCCTCTATACATGTAGCTATGACTCCATTATTATTACTAATGTTAATTGTGGTTCCTCTCTTTTACTTGATTATGTTTAATGTCACTATATTGGTCTTTTGAGATTAAAAGATAGGTCTTAATGATCACTTATTTTGGTTAGATATTTATTTTCTTGTATTAATTTTATTTTACTGGATATTTTTTATTGATTTTAGAGAGAGAGGTAGGGAGAGGGAGAGAGAGAGAGAGAGAGAGAAACATCGATTAATTGCCTCCTCTACCCTGACCAGGGTTTGGACCTGAAACCCAGGTATGTACAATGACAAGGAATGGAACCCGTGACCTTTTTTTTGGTGCAGGGGACAACACTCCAACCAACTGAGCCACACTGGCCAGGGCTAAGTAGGTTGTGGTTTTAGATAGGTTTTCCTCTTCATCCTAAAAAAGCAGTTAAATATCCCAAATGAACAGCAGATTTCTTTTGAATATATATTAATTTCAAAATGTTATGTTTTTAAAGTCAGTGAATGTAGCCTTTACAGATACTATTTTTTGAAATTTATTAAGGTTTCTTTTCTCAACAAATCCAAGGTTAATGTTTTTGATGAAAAGAATGCCTAATCTCTGTTTAACAAAAATAAACCTGTAAATATATTTGTTTGATTGTTCTTGTTGTTTACATTACTTGAGACTTCTAAATTTCATTTCGTGTTACTTCTGCTCTTGGAATACAATTCAACTATTTAACATCTACTAATGAATGCTACTATCTCACATATTACTTCATCTGAGGCTGTTGGAGTTAAGGAAAGCATCCAACATGCATGATGGAATAAAAAAAAGAAATGAAAACAGTCAGTTGCCCCCTGAGAATGAAGTAAATGAGCTGGTAGACTTCTGAGAAGTCAGGAAATGGAAAAAGTGAGTAATAAAACTAAGGGAGACTTCCCACAGTTCAGTGAAATGGCTCTGAAAGTGATGCTGTAACTATATCAATTCATATTTTCTGCTCTAAAAGCCTTTGGAGATCATTATGAAAATAGCAATTAATTTTTGTGACTAAAAATAAAAGGTATGTATAAATTATAAATTTTATGTCACATTTCCAAAATGTGTTCCATAAAAATACTCGGAGAAAACTACTCATTAAAAAAAAGAAAAATAAAAAGATTTTCAGAGTTAATGCATATTTGCCTATTGAAAGACTGGCAAGTTCTGAGGTGAAGGCAGCCATTTAATTTAGAGCTATTTTGTTTTACAAACTTTTAAATACAAAAAACTTTTATTTTATGAAACACCTATGACTATTTAGCAGTTCAGAAAAGCCAATTTACTATATTATGTAATTTTCATGAACATATCATTTACATAAATTATTGTATCAAACTTATCCTGTTCTGGAAATATAGTTATGACAAGCTTTATGTTATGTCAGTGAGTAAATATATGAGCTACATATAAATAAGCCAAATGTGTCTGATATATATATAACACTTAATTAGCCTGTTTATACAAATATTCATATAGGTCATATATATCAAAAATATTTATATGTCCTGGCAAAAATAAATGGCTTTAGTCTGGAGTAAAAGCTAATTAAAAATATTTATTCTTGCTGAGGTTCAGTTTTCCTGTAAATACTTTTGGTTTAGGATTCCAAGAATGTCCAGAAGCTGATTCTAAAGGTTTTTTTTTTTTTTCATAGAATTTAACTATTAAAATAATTTTAAAAAATAATAAACAGGGTAAAATGTAACCAATTCCAAATTTTGAAACACTTTGAGAATAATCTATAAATACTATGCTTTTAAGGAGATTTCATTAATATAATTCTCTGGATTTACCTAAGAAAAGTAAATGTTTGAGAATTGTTTACATTTTAAATCTTAACATTCATGTACAGCATAACCAAAAAAGTGGCCAGCATTAAGCCTAGATTACTAAAGAAGAAGAGTATTCTTTCTGTGGTGTTTAAGCTTAGTTTTCTAAGTCATTCTAGATGGATTGTTCCAAGGTTGCATACAAGTTCAATAGGTGTCCCCCACAATGATATATGCTTTAAGTTGAACAAGAATTTGTTATAGCTCCACTAATAATATTGGACATAATATATTTAAGTTGCCTGCTGAATATTAACTGTATATGTTGCCACCAATAATAGATATTCTTTATTGAGTATTAATTATGTACCAGGAATGATGGAAAGGAAAGAAATCTCACAGGTTATTGTAACTCACTTCTGCATTTATTTATTTATTTATTTATTTATTTATTTATTTATTTAGAGGAAGAGAGAGAGAGAAAAACATCGACGTGAAAGGAACACATCGAGTGGCTGCCACCCGCACGACTCAACCAGGGCCGGGGACAAACTGCAACCGAGGTACATAACCCTAGCCGTAACCAAACCTGGGTCTCTCAGGACCCCAGGCCGACGCTCTAACTGCTGAGCCAAGTCTACCAGGGCCCCTTCTGCATTTAAAGAAAGAGGAAATGAGTTATAGAGAAGTCTATCCAAAGTCATATGGGACATGGTAATAATTGATCCTGACTTGTATTTCAATGCAATTTCTATTGCATTAGCTGTTTTTGACTGGCCTTCCATGATTCTATGGAGTCTCATAAGACTCTTTTGATCTTTAGAGGAGAATTTTCTATATTTGGTCCAGATATCTTACCTCAACCTCAAGTTTATATAAACATATGCCCATTTGTATTACTTAGAATACAAGACACTAAAGCAGGAAAGTCTGCAAAGCACAAAAAAAGTGGTTTCCATTTTTAAGATTAAACATGTTTTTGTATCAGCTGCCATATGTATTATAAGAATATATGTATACAGCCCTGGCCGGTTTGGCTCAGCGGTTGGAGCATCGGCCTGGGGACCAGAGAGTCCCGGGTTTGGTTCCTGCTAGGGGCATGTACCCCCCCCCCCAAAAAAAAAGAATATATGTATAAATTATAAGTTAACAAATATTACAATGTAGAGAAAAGCTATATTTTAAAATCTACCCTTTCTCTTCTACACATTAAATATCTAGTCAACATTTTGCTTTTAGGTTTTAGCTAATTTGTGTTCAGGGAGTATTTGGTTAAGAATCTGTCAAAGTAAAAGGTGATTTGACAAGTAAAATTTTGTTTGTAGGAAAATTATGTAGATATGTCCATACATGCACACTGAAATACACATACACACAGAAAAACATGTATAGATGGACTCAAAAGTATAACATCTATAAGGATGTATGTATATTTATATATATGTATATGTACATATTATATATACACACACACACAAAATTTGTATTATTTTTGTGATGTTACTGCTATCAACACAGATAATTGTGAAACTATATAATTTATACTTATATTTCCAGACACACACACAAAAAAAACAAGGTATGTTGAATTGCCTACGTATTTCCGCATTAAAAAAAATTATTTGTATCTTAAAAGGTGTTTGTAGATATCTTTGGATATGGCATCTCTGCTTGGTTTGTGATTGGTTTATAGTTTTGTTTTAATCTACTGTCCATAGGCTACTCTATAAACCCCATAGATCATTCAAAATTTAAGATTTAGAGTATGGCTCTTTGGGTCTTAGAAAACACTATTAAGACAACATTCTAAACATTTAAGGGGAAGAATCTTAAAGTCATGTCATAGTTTCTTTTTTAATATTTTTCAAAAAGTAACTGACTTCACAAACACCAACTATAACATGATTTAGACAACTGAGAAACAGGCAAGTGTATTTTAAAATGCTAAAATAAACCACGTTTATACAAGTACAAAGCGAAACAATGCTGATAAAAATGTTAAACTTTATGAAAAAAATCATTTGCAATTCACATCAAAATAATTTAACATTCTCTATTGTTTTAATAGTACAAGCTGCAACAACAAAAAAAGAACAGATACTCGCACACAATTTTAAAACCAAATCAGTTATAAGTGCAGAGAAAAGTAAGTACAAGCACTTGTAGCCCACACAAATCTTTTAGGATTGGCACCATCTCCCTAAAACATCTATATTCTATATAGATTTCTAATTACAACACCACCAGCAGCTGCCATTGAAATCTAGAAATACACACAATATACATAGTATATTTGTTCACATTGGGAAGATCAGTGAAATTCAGCCAACTATTTTATACATGCCTCATTCTTCAACAGATAGTAGAGAATCTCCCAGGCCTCAGACCCTCTTTAAAGTGAACTAATTTATCTTTATGCTTTTCACTGATCTGTATTTTTTCACAGTATAAAATTGTAAATGGTTACTATAGAGACTGACAGCTTGAGGGTTATTAATAAGCTGTGGCTAAATGTGAACTCAGAGAATACCTTTGAAGTCTCCAAAACATGTACATTTTGCTGGGAGACTATCATAGGAAATGTTTTTGTTTTTTTCTTAATAAGTGTTTAATTCCTGGTTTGGAAGTCACAGAACTGCATTAGAGCCATCATAAAATTCATTTACAGTCAGAAATAGCTCCTAGTTCTCCTGATCACTTGCTGGTAACAGCAGTAGCTTGGGAAAGACCATTACTCTCAAGGCTTAGCACATTTGGGAGTTCGCTTTTTTTCTTTGCTTCAGTCAACTTTCACCTACTTCTTTCCATACTCCCTTTCTTTCTGGTCCCTACCTCTAATCTAGACAGATGGTTCTTCCCAATCCAGATAGGCTCTTCTCAGGCTGCCTCGATTCCTCTCCCAAAATCAAGAATGGTTGGACTACTTAGCTAATCCACATAACTTGATCAAACCAGGTCTTCTTTTTTAACATCCTGGGACCAAACTGTCCTTTATAGGATCACTTCTCTGAACTTTAGCATTTCACTGTACTTTCTCCGTCCTTTTAGTCCCAACTGAATTATCACTGGGCACCAGGAACAGATTGTGTTCAAGGAAATTCAATGAAAATAGGTACCCAAACTAATTGTGAAGTTCATATCCTAGCCCTAGAATGAATATTCAGTTCTCTTTGTATTGTAGATTTATTACTTGGAACCTGGTATGAGAATTGGCAAAGAGACAGAGTTAGCATCATTCCAAAATAAAATATCTCAATAATGCATTACTACTAATAATATGTATTATACAATGTATAAAATGAAGCGGCAAAGGGTACATAAACATAGAGAAAAATACATCTTGTTCTCTTCTAATTGGATAATTATTTTTCTTCAAGTTGATTGTAATTTCATCTGGAATTATTACCTAGTGATCTATTTGCTTTAAATTTTAATTTCTAATAAATTAGTTTACTTTTAAAAAGAAATATATTGCTAAGAAGTTAGAAAAGGAATTTGATCATGGAGAAAGTTTAAAACATGTTCTTCTTTTGATAAATACAGTGAAACTTACTGTACTTAAGAATAAAATGGAACTCAATATAGGGGTTTTTATGAAATAAATTTCAAAACTTAGATAGTAAAACATATTTAAAAATGTTTCAATACCTAAGAAATCAAGACAGTATTCCTTAGGTGAATGCCACCTTCTAAATGAGGATCCAGGGATAATAATACTTCAAAATATTTACATTTGGTTTTCAAGTAGAGGCAGACATTTGCTTTCAAAGAGACCATAAAATTTAGCTAGATCCACTCTGTTTCAAGAGTATCATTATCATATTTGGGATCAGGGTGCTCTGATTGTGTTATTTCAAATCTGTCATTGGAGGTTTGAATTATTAAATTTTATTTTAGTACATTAATGTTAGCTTTTATTATTTTATATTGGAAGATTTGATTTAAAATTTAAATTAGAACAGGTATCAGGAAAGGGAAATCCTGCAGTATATTTATTATAGCTTTTAAAAATGAAAAATGCTAAATTATGCCAATGGATATATTTTCATTTCTCAATTACTTTTTAAGTAGGTGTAAAATAAAAGTACTTACAAAATAAGAATATTGAGCTAAAAGAAACAGGTTTTACTTATTTTTCTCTCTGCCAAAAATACACTTCTGCCTCACAGTAAAACTTTTTTCATAAGGCTATCTTTAATATAAGGCTGGGTCGACTGAACTTTAAATTTATAGGACATCTCCTTCTTTTATTACTATCCTTATTTAAAAATCAAAAACATTTGGCACCTGAGGATAGCTGTAATGGGAAGAAGAAAGAGATGACACTGGATGCAGGTCTTGAGCTGTGAATTCTATCTCTATGAGCCCGTCAAAGCATGTGCATTTGTATTATAACTTTAAATCTCTTTTCTGCAGTATTTAAAAAGTGACAGTATGAAGTGCACAAAATCATATTAATAATTATTTTAAAAAGGAAATTATAATTGCTTTGCCTCTTTTTGGAATGGCTAAGAAAGACTGTGTGGTTTATATTCACTAAGGTTCCTCTGTTTTAGTATTCTGTATTGCTTTGAAAAATCTCCATTTGTCATAGTTCATAGCTGCCCTGTTTCAGCAGCCAAGAAAAGTTAAAATCACTGCTCACTGGCATGGCTAAATCTCTGCTAAGCCGACTTGACACAGTTTAAAATTTCCAGTGTATTAAGACTGTGTTAATTTTTTGAAAAACAGTCCCTCCAATCGTGACAATGTCTTCATTGGGTCTATGGACCATTCTTCCAGTGGTGGGACTTGAAAAAAACAGAGGAGCTTTTTGTGCATCAGGTTCTCAAAAGAAACGAATGAAGAAGCCCAAATGCATATGTTAATATTTTAGCTGGCAATGCTAACAGAACAGCATTCATCAGGAGGAGTGGCCACATTTCATGAAAAAGATAGCCAAGCTGGAGCTTAAGAATTATTATTATAAAGAGAATTTCCAGCTACACAACGCACTCCAGTGAGGGAATTACAAAACAGTATTCCAGAAAATATTTTTTTGCTACTCCAGTATTGATTGGCAACATGGTGAAATAGTCAAGAAATCTTCCACTGGTTTTCCTGGTTAATGGAGGTGAATTGAAATAACTAGGTGGAATCCCGGATGCAGGCTTTCGGAAGAGGATTTCACAAACGAATTGGAGAGGAAAGTCAGTCTCTGGTTAAAAACCCTACACACACCAGCGCACCACTCATTATCCAGTTGTGTGTTATGCCTCGTGGACACACTCACTATGCCTCAGCAAATACCTGGCCCAAGGTACTGTTTTTCAAAGTCTTCAAAAGAAAGAAAAAAGAAAGAAAGGAAAAAAAAAAAAAAGATAGGTTGACGTTTTGGTCCCAGATTTTAAGTTTGTTATAAAATGTACATTCATGTTTGGTGAATCAAAGACTCTTCTGGGAAAAGAAGGAAAGTAAACAAACTAAACTTTTTACAGTTGCTTATTAACTATGCTTTCCCCCCCCTCCATTATGCTGTTTCACACTCATTGCTTCCCTAGAGCAAAGCACTTGGTAGGTAACTGTTTTAACAGACTCCTGTCAGCCCTCAAAAATAGCAGTGTTTCTTAAAAGCCCATGTTTTCTAAGGCCACTAGAAGAAAATCTGCCAAAAGATTTGTAGTTGGTGTCTTCGTCGGTTGATGTTAAATAGCACTATTGATCTCGTTTCCGTTTCGCTTTACTCGGCATCTTCCACCCCAGATCTGACCCAGATGGCTGCGCTTGTCGCTGTGTGAACACGTGCGGTCTCGCTCCAGTCGGGGAACCAGCGTGGTTTCCAGTGCCATTCACAACGACGACGAGCTCTGAGTGTAATCTCTTATGATCAGTGTGTCATATTTGGGAGACGAAGGGATACAGAGGGCAGATTCGGACACCGGCGAGGTGGGGGTTGTACTCCCCGAGTCCACCGAGTCTCTGAAGGGGGACGGCGGGGTGAGAGCCACCAACTCCTCCAGCTCCGGCTTGCCCGTCGCGGCCTCGGGCGCGGGCTCCGGCGTCTCCAGGGCAGCGCCCCCAGCCGGCGGGGCCGCGGCTGCCGCGGGCTGCGCGCCGGCCGTCACCTCGATGGCGGGCAGGGGCTGGATTTCGGCGAACGTCGTCATGGTCGTGGGCAGCTGGATCTCTTTGGGGATCAGGTAGGATGAGCAGAGCGGGGCGCCCACGCCGGGCCCCGGGGCCGCGGTGGACAGCATCATGGAGTTGAGCTCGCTGATGTTGGCCGTGAAGCGGGTCACCACGCTGCTGATCTGCTCCATGAGCGAGCCCTGCGAGGAGCTGCTGCGCGCCGCGGGCTCCGAGTGCAGCGAGGGCGCGTCGTCGTCGGTGCGGCTGGCCGAGCCCGCGCGGTGGCTCAGCGTGCTGATGGGCGAGGGCGAGCGCGGGCGCGCCGCCGCGGGGAACTGCTCCTCGGCCTCCGCCACCTCGTACAGCGGCTTGGGGGCGGCGTCGGGCGGCTCGGGGCCGCCGGGGCCCGCGGCCGCGCAGCTCGCGCCGCCGGTGCCCCCCGCGCTGGGGCCCGCGCCGCCCGCGCCGCCCGCGCCCGGGCCGCGGCTCTCCGTGCTCTTGGGGAAGGGCTTGATGACCGCCGTTTGGTTGGGATTCTCCTTCTTGTTGATGTGGATGGACAGCCGCTGCCACAGGTGCTGCCCCCGGCTGCTCCTCTCGTTCTGGGCCCACGTGACGGATTTCCCGTTGGAGCTGGAATGAAAAGGGAGAGGAGAGGTGACTCAGCGAGGACCCTGGCCGGCTTCCCGGGGTGGGGGTGGGGAGTGGCTATGGGCTTGCACTGGGAAGGACTTTTCTCCTTCTTTCAGGAAATAAGGCATCCAAAGGACACCCGGAAAGAGATCTTGGACGTGGCATTTGCTTGCTTGTTTTGTTTTGCATTAAAGTCTCCTTTCTTATATCTGGCCTCCTGTTGATCATTTCCATGAAAAGGGATATTAGTAAGGATGAAGGAGTATTTGTGGGGATTCTGCAGCAGTTCCGAGCCCACCGGGAAGTGCAACTGCTGGTTATACCGCAAACAGAGAAGCGAGGGCTTGCAGTGCTGTGGCTGCGTGCAGGGCAGTCTGGTACAGGCCAGGCTTCCTCGAGTTCGCGCCTCTGCGCGGAAACGCGAGAACTAGGATCTCAACTAACCAACCCAGTCTTGGAGAGAACGGGTAAGAGGCAAGCGTTACCAGGAGGTAGACAATGGTTCCCATTCAGTTTTCATTCTGCAGGTCAATGGTTGGTGTATTTCACTAGGGATTTCTGTACGAATTCCTGCCTTTGAAAATGGTTTTACTAGTCTGGCTTATCTGCTGGAAAATACAAATTCACTGAACACATAGGAATTTCTAATACATTAGAACTCTTTTGCTTCACAGAAATTTTCCTCACAGATTTATATTTAGGTTTAAAACTTGAAATTATTCTGTGTGGGAGCACGCAGTATATTGCCTGTGGCACCTAACTAATCGCTTTCAAATTAGGGGCTTGAGTGTTGTCTGAATGACATGATTTCTTAGGGCCTTTCTTCCTCTTCCTTTCCCCAAGCAGTTCTTTTTGGTTCCACCCTGGGGTCTGAAAGCTGCTCTGATGAAGATGCTATTGGTGCCCTCAGCACCTGACCACAGAAAATGACACAACAGCCTCTGAAGCTACTTATGGTCGGAGGATGTGGCCCGACCTTCACCACAAAGGAATTTCTCCTCACAAAGGAATCTGAGGTCTCCTGTAACTAGGGGTCTGTTATGTCCAGACAGCAATGTCCTAAATTCTGTGACTAAGAGACAGCCGCAGACAATCTGTAGACAAAAGGCTTTGGCCACCCAATTTTATCATCTCAGCAAGTGGTTATTATTTTTTTTTTATCCTCACCCAAGGACATTTTTGCATTTTATCTTCAGATAGAGCATGAGGGAGAGAAGGAGGAAGAGAGAGAGAGAAACATTGACATGAGAGAGACACATCAAGTGGTCGCCATGGGACAAACTGCAACCGAGGCACGTGCCCTTAGCGGGAACCAAACCCAGGACTCTCTGTTCCTCAGGCAGATGCCCTAACTGCTGAGCCAAACCGGCCAGGGTAGCAAGTGGTTATTAAACTTCGTTGTGCGTAAGACTCATCTAGGGCATTTGTCAAACATCCTAGACAGGATCCCAAGAGATTCTAATTTTCTGAATTGGGTTCTAAGGATCTACGCATTTTACAAGTACTCTGGACTCTGCTCTCCAAAGTGATTCCACAGCAGGGGTTTCAGAAACTGAGAAACTCCCAGGGAAGCTGGCCTTTATCTCTGGGTTCCCATTGTTTCCTTGGCCTCCTGGAGGCCAAACTGGAGGACTGACCTGCCTTTGCCAGGCAGAAGACTGAATTGTGTTTGTAGCTCACGTGCTTTGGGGTTGCCAGGCTACAACTGCCAGATCCACTCTGTCTGAGACACTCACCCCCTTGATAACAGACCACTGTTTCTACAGCGCCTGTAACACTACGTTTCCTGCCTCTTTCCCACAATGCTTCCGATTTCTTCATCTATCTTTGCACTTGGTAGTCTTCCTTTCTCTGCTCCTTCTTTTGAATTCTAATTCCTTTTCATGTATCCAAAGCTTTGCAACCTGGAGTCCTTCAGAATTCTGGAATGTGAGCTATCCCCCACCCCCATCACTCTTCCCACAAAGGATGGACAGATTTTTTCCAAGTTTAGAGGTTGCTATGCATCCTCAGTAGCAGAAGGGGCCCTGCCAGCCTCTTAACTTTTGTTTCCAGGAAAGTTTCATGGTTTGTTTTTACATTTTGCATCAATCTGACCTGCTACCTTTTATGTTTTTAGTGCATTACTTTTCTTCTTCCCAGGTGTCCACTAACTCCTGGAACACGACACAGAATAAATGGGTCAGATTGTTTATGAGGTTTGATTTGGAGGATGGTTGCCAACAATCCCCTTCCTCTCGTCCCAGCAGGATGAAAAACAGGCATGTCAGGAGGGACAATTAATCTTTCAGGTCTCTAAGGCCACTTTAATACAAAGCGTGAGTGAGAAACTAGAAGCATAACTGGATTTATTCTCCAAGCTTTACCCTAGGGAAGTTCTTGTTCCCAGCACAGAAAGGCTTTGTTGAAACGTAACTTGGGACATCAACAGTGACAGTCTTTGGAATCACATGTAGCCATACCCAAAAACATGCTAGAAGATTGAAAAACCTTTGGATGAACGTGTGAGAAGGAAACTATCATAACTCACCAATCTGCACCAAACACTGATATCTTTCCTGCCCTTCTTTGCTCACAGTGCCCATGGTCATGTGGGAGAGAGAGCACGAGACAATAGGAATAACAAGGGAAGTGGACACAGGATACACCAGAGAAATGGAGTCCAAATCTGAGCACTTCATTTCATTTCTTGAGCAATAAAAATTTTTTTTCTATGAAGTAAATGGAAACTCTAAGGGGAATGGGGGAATTTGGAGACATCAGTAATACTCTCAACAATAATTAAAATAAAGATAAAAAACAAAACAAGCCCTGGCCAGTTTTCTCAGTGGTTAGAGCATCAGCCCATGGACCAAAGGGTTGTGGGTTCTATTCACAGTCAAGGACATGTACCCAGGTTGCAGGTTTGATTCCTGGCCCCAGTCAGGGTCGTGTAGAAGGCAACCAATCCATGTATCTATCTCTCTCACATCTATGTCCCTCTCTCTCTCTCTCTCTCTCTCTCTCCCCCACTTCCCTCACTCCCTCCCTCCTCCCTGTCTTTTCTCCTTTTCTCTATCTCCCTCTTTTGCATTCTATCTAAAAATCAATGGAAAAATATTCTTGGGTGAGGATTAACAAAACAAACAAAAAAACAATTTATGATATTAATTTGTTTATTAGTAGAATATAATTTCACCCTGGCTGGTTTGGCTCAGTGGTTGGAGTGTCGGCCTGCAGACCAGAGAGTCCTAGGTTTGGTTTCCACTAGGGGCATGTACCAAAAAGAAAAAAAAAAAAAAAAAGAATATAATTTCCATGAAGACAGGATTCTTAAGTTAATGGGGAAGTTTGTGTTGTCCTGCAAAGTGCAATGGACAAAGGATCATAAAATCTGGGTTCTAATTCTCGATCAGCCATCCTGGATGCTTGAAAAATAATAATCTCTTTAAGCCCTGGTAAAAAACAGACAATATATAACTTGATGAAGGTTGTTGTGAGGATGTAGGGGAAAGGGTCTGGTAAGGAGAAAGTATCTATGGATTTGTTTTTGCATCCCAGAATACCACATTTCAGAAAATAAAATACTACATTTCGGAAACTAAAAACAGTATACTCAGTGCCATTTTGAGCTCTGGTTTGAGGAACAGAGAATTCAGTGCACAATAAAATATGGCAAAGCCATAAAATATTTCTGGTTGTTTCGCCTAACCTGACCAACTGTTATAAAAATTAGAGATCCATAGTGTTTGATCTGCGGTCTCTTTTCTCACCCTGAGCTCGGCCCTTGGTGATCCCATCTGCTCCACTTAGTTCCACTGTTCATGTTCCACATCTCACTTTGTCCTGAAACGCTCTTTCATTGTGCTCTGTCCTCTCTGTCTTTTTCTTCCTTTTTGCTTAAGCTCTTCCTTTTTTAAAAGTTTGATTTTACTTTAATTGCCTTTTTTTGAGGGATGCTTTCCTGACCCCACCCCTGATTAAGTTAGGTTCTCATAGTCCTGCATTAGGTACCCAATAACTCTTTGCTGTATGTGCATCTCATTGCTGAATGGAATGTTATGAAGGCGCAGACAGAGGGTTCTTTATTGTCTGTTATATCCATAGTATCCAGTGCATTGCCTATAACACAGTAGGTGCTCAATAATACTTGGAGACAAATAATTGAGTGGATAAATGCATTTCATTTAAAAAAATCATACTGATTTTTTTTTTCTGTTAGAATTAAGCTTCAAAACCAATTCAGTATTAAATTATTTTTGCCTTATGGATCTATTTTTTTATATATAATTCACTGTACATAATAGTACTCTGTACATATAGAGCTTGATGTCTACCATGAAAATCACAAAATGTTTATTCCTTTTTGTAATTCATATACGTCTGTTTCAGTGACACTTCTCAGTGGTGAAAGCTTACTGAGGCAGTATGAGCAGTGGACCCAGAATGTGGGTCCAAGATCTGGCCCTGAGTGACACTGGGCAAATCACTTAACACTTTTAAGCCTCTTTGTTTATTGGTAAAAAATGGAAGAAATAAACCTTCCCTGCTCACTTCCCATGATTTCTGGGAGGAACCAAAAGGCAATAGGCATGAGGATCCTTGATTAAGCAAAGTACTTCTGCAAGGAGCTGCTTATCAAATCTTCCATTCAATTGAGGTACAACCTTGTTTATTGTTACTTAGGCTGAGAATTTTTTTTTTTTTAAAGCATCAGGATTATACATTTGTCCTAGGGGGCTGAGTTAAGAAAAGGGAAGGGAACTTTTCCTTACCTGTCTAGAGAACTTCAACTTACCCACTGAATATCGGGGGCTTTGGGAAAGAAGGAGGAGGAAAGGAGAGTTGAGGCAACACAGGACACATGGTTTGCTACATCTGGGAAGGAGGACAAACTAGCCAAAACTGCCAACAAAAACACACACTGAAAAACCTTCTCACTCTTTCCAGACACCAATGAGCCCTTTTGCCAAGTATAATACTATGTAATGAATCTATTGTCTTATCATATATGGCAATTT